CCCGAAAACTAAATGGCACTAGGGGCTCTAATTCTCCCCAAATATGTCTTGCAGAACATTTTATATAAACATGAAAAGCATGGGACCTATGCTTTTGATTTAAGAGTGCAAAACACTGAAGGAACTCTTTTTGAACCCACCCTTCAGTTGTATCTGTCATTATAGGGTCCTGGACTTTCCCATTATTTGGACGCTATTCCCACTATTTTGACAGTTATTCAGAATGACCTGGGGTTAGGTGGTTGTCATTGTTCAGTATTGTTTCCCTGAAGTTTAATTAGTAGAATATATTTGACACAGTAAATGTATATAGTAATGTCTGTTTTTTTAAAAAAATATATATTTTTACATACCCATGTTTATGTGTAAACACATAAACAGAGGCATTAAAACCTCCAAAATTACATGAGAGAGAAAAAATCCAAAATAAAACTGTCCGCAGTCAAATTCAGTAGTTTTCCAGAGGCTGAACATACTATCTCCACAATGAAGCAAGCATTTGCGACATCACCATTTTCTTTGGAAATTGTTCTTTTTTTGAGATTAAAGGAAGAATTTCCACAGTCATCCCTCAATTGTTTCTTCCACACAGAGTAACTAATGGATCACATCCTTCTTGTGTAGATTTTATAGCATCAGATATGAGATCCTCTGAGAAGTAACACATCTCAGTATGGAATGGATAGAGTGGAGCTGTCTGCAACAGGAATGTACCAGGTCTGCCACAAAGCCCTGAATACCTAAAGCTTTTAAGAGGTGACAAATCTTGCAATACAATGTGGAAGTCAGCTGCCTTTGCATAAACCTGCCAAACATCAATTATATCCCTATGTTGCTAGAGATATGTTTCTCTTCTCCATAATTGCATATAATTGCTCCAACCCAAATTCATGAAAAAAGGGTGAAATGCTAAAATTGCCTGAGATGTACTAGTGCTCCTCTTTACCTGGCATCCTCCCACATCCTCTCCTAGTTTTCCTGTAATTTCCACATGTTTGCTAGTAGTTTGGGTAAGCACTAAGGGTCAAGATTGTAGCACATCCTAAGAATTGTATGAATTGACCCAAAGAGTATATTTTTTTCCCTTTTTGCCTGAAGTGGATAGGAATTGCTCTTTCATTTTGTTAAAGCTAGGGAGATATGTGTGTGCATGGGCCTTCAGGTTGCCTACTAACATATGGTCACCTCATGGGCATCATAGGGATTAGGCAAGGAATCCTCAGAGGTAGTTTTCCCAGGTCCTTCCTCTGAAAAGTAACTTACAGCACCTGGTATTTGTAGCAGTCTCCCATCTAAGTCCTAACCAGGGCTGGTCCTTCTTAGCTTCCAAGATCAGTGTAATCTGGTGCCTTTAGGGTATTTTGGAGATATACTATCTGATTATTATACAGCACACCCTGAGGTTTATTATACAGCAGATCTGAGCTTCCATAGACAGCAAGGCTTTTTCAATAGGTGGGCATGCATGCGGCAGCTCACGTGGGTTCAGGAGTGCACACATGCCCATTGAA